CCGGCTTAAATCTCTGCCAAATTTAAATTAAAAAAAAAAACAACAGGTTTTCAGCTGTTTCGGTTCCTGAAATTGCCTTCTGACTATGAACTAGATGTGATCAGACAGCACTGTCTTCCTGAATCTACAAACTAAAGCAACAGTGAAGTGTGAGCTGACTAACGGTCATGTCCTCATACCCCCACAGATCTCAGCAGCAAACTGTGCTGTGGACATTTTCTTCAGGACTAAGATGGGTGACATAATCAGACTACTTTGACAATTAAATATTAACTATTTGCTGTACTACAAGTATTCAGAGTAAAAAAAAAATCTTCAGAATGAAACAGAGTAATAAAGCAATCCTGTTAGCAACTTATCTTGCACTCTCTGAGTCATTACTGATTGAATTTTGTACTGAGTTTTTTCTATACTGTATTTGAAGGAAAACTGCTGTAATAGCACCAAACTCTCCTTGGACTATGGCAAATCAGGAACAAACATTAAAAATTAGTACTATTAGAGTGATGTATTTCAATATTTCTTATGAAACAATTTTTATTTCTTTCCACGAAATCCACTATTATATACATCTTGCATATCAAAAAACCCCACCTAGACACGGACCTATCACTCCCTAATCTTATATAGCTGAAAGCCAAAAACATTTTAAAATAGGAAATTAAAAGTTTATTAGAAGTGAGTGAAACTGTAACAATATTTATGTAGAAAAAACACTATTTTCTTTGGAAGATATTAAGCTAAGACATTGTATTACAGTAATTGCTGGTTTGTGTTTTTTGGGGTTTTTTTTTTGCTTTTGGGGTTGGGTTTTTTTTTTTTTTTAATAAAGTAGCATGTCAGGAAAGGTCTTCATTCACTTTCCACAGAACATCACGTGCTGTTTCTCCCTTTACGGTTACATCATGATCCAAAACAAAGTTAACTATATTACATAGTCCTACCAACAAAGTAGAATCCAAACGCAGCTAAATTGTGAAATGCATTAGTGGCTTTACAGTTCATTAACGGCACAATTCACATTTCTAAAACAACTTTAACTTCGCTGTGTACTAATATGACTGTACTAGCAACTAATAACGATAGAAGTTGGAACTCAGTGCAATGAAGGAATTGTACTACTTTTCCTGACAATCCTAACATTCTTATTCAAATGCACCACATATGTTTTCTAAGGGACACTGCCACACAACAGAGATGGCCTTAATGTTCAAGGATTAGTTTTGCTTAAATTAACTTATTCACTGGTCTCCCCGCTTTCTCCCCTTTTCTGTGAGCTCAAAAATCTTTGAAACAGGGCAAAGGTGTTTATTATCTATGCAAGTCCTAGAAACAGACTTTTCACTTAAGTATTCTTCATCTGCAGACTGCCCTCATGGACTTTCTGGACTCACACAAACTGTTGATGGACTCCAGGCTTGAGAAACTTTAATTAATGGCAGAAGTAGGATGTTCAAGACTAGATCCTACAACAGGAAGCAGTTCTATTTCTCCCAGCCAGTTAATAATTGCTGTTCGAAGTAACAATCAAGTAACCCAAAAGCGCGTCAATCTGTTAGCGTTCTTCATTATACGTCAATAGAATTTGCCAAAACATCTGCCTGGCTCATGGTGCTTTCAAATGAACAGACCTCTGCAAGATATCACCACAGTTAATCTCTGGAGCGTCCAGGATTTTGTATTATTTTCCATCTGACAGAGTTCAGCAGTATACTTGCAAAAGGCAGTGGCAAACTGCAGATTATATAATATAACATCTGCAGAACACATGCAGGAACCAGAGGTCTAGAAAACCTGACCTATAAAGGAAAACTGAAAGAAATGGGGTTCTTTAGCCTAAGGAAGAGGAGACTGAATGGGACTTAAGTCTTCAAGTACATAAAGGGTGGTGCAAACAGGCAGGAGTAATCTTGTTTCTCTGTGGACACAACAGGAAGATGTGAAGCTTAACCTGCAGCGAGAAATCTCTATGTCTAAGACCACCATTAATAAAACTTCCAAACTGTAAGAACAGCAAACGGAGCAAAAAGATTGCCTGGGCAGGCTGTGGAGTCTTAACCACTGGAGATTTTTAGAAACAGAACGAAATTGTCATAAATGACAGAGACAGTTGATCCTGACATTAAGCAGGAGAATGGACTGGATGACCTCTTAAGATTTTCCAGCCCTATTTTTCTTTAATTCTACAAATTAATGTAAAAAGATTATTACTACTTCATTTAATGCTAGTATATTGATTTTAGCAACAAAGACCAAAGTTTAAAAGGATTCCCATTAGCTGTATATGATGGATCTGGTTTTTTAGAACTTCTTTTGCTGCTTCTGAAACAATAGATTTTAAAAACAAGAAAATCGTAGGAAGAAACAACAATCAAAGTTACCTTCTCCAGTTTTCATACCATGTTACTTTGTAAATTGAACTTAAAATGTATATAAGCATGCCATTTCCAAAAGAAAGTTGGTTCATTCTTACTAAACTCAGGGTAGAGGCACTAACTATTCCTGTGGTTAGGGTGCAAATGAAAAAGACATTCAGCGTACGACACTATTCTAATCAAGAACATATATAAGAGTAAAGAATAACAACTTTTTCCCTTCTTTCCCCCCAAAGTGAAAACTCAAAGGAATCTCCCACAGATTTCTTACCATTTTATAAAGATCTGAAACACTGATCTGATCTGAATCCACAACCTCAAAGTCCTTCCGAGGAACTAAATCCAGGCCCAAATGTCTGCAAAAGAGAAGGAAGGAACAATGGTAAGTATAATACATTAGTGTTCACTATTATCTACTACATGTGCTTACTCAAGGGCAAGGACACAAGAAATACTGAACTATTTAAGTCTTTTTGCAATTGTTAATCATTAAACAGATAAACCTTCTAAATAAAATTAAATGCAAACATCAAACAAAAAACCACTACGAACTTGTTACTTTTTGTTCACTGACTTCAGTGGAGCTACAGCAACTAATGCTAGTTGAAGCTTTTGGCCAGTATGTTGGTGCAGTATCCAGAACAAGTTGATTTCATACATGGAAACGTAGCAGGCAAATAAAGTTGGTACTCTGGTTTCTGCCGCAGTATTTGAGTAGGTCCTTCGCTACATAATGAAAAAGTTCCATTAGTAATCCTGTTCAAATGTGGAAATAGATACCGCACCTTGGGAAGTTGCTTTGAAATTCCTGGTGTTCGTGCAACTAAACCCCCAAATTTATCACTGTATAAACATAGTATTTTTTTAATAATAAACAAAAACTACAATGTCAACACGAATTTTAATCCGTGGTTGTAACACACACACAAAAACCTTTTAATTACTCCGAACTGAAATAATATTTTGGCTCAAATCAAAGATATAAACTATTAAAAAAAAAAAGTATACCAGTGCAAAGAGGATGACTAGTTACAAAATTCTGTAGTAAAGAAGGCAGTTGAGGTCACAGCTGCATGTGAGCAGCGGACAGAATAAGCTATTTTGCATCCAGACAACTAAATGAACAACTATTACCAATTAATTAATAATTGTAGACTGCAGAATGAGAACCTAAAAGGTGTCAAAACCCAACTTTTGCTCTGTAGATCTTCAGGTTCTGAGGCATAAAGAGTTGTGAGCATTACAATAAAAAGCTGCTCTAAACACACATATTAGGAGTAAAATTAAAGAGACATGAATTTTCCTGCTTTCATCTTACGTAACTTTGACAATTCATTTAGAGATATTTTATACTGAAATTCTTAATAGTCCTAAAGAAAAAAAATTCAGAAGAGGTGCCCTCATGAACTACCTTTGCACTCTTTCTGTCACGAACTATAAAAGAAAAGCAAAAGTCAATTTAATTTTGTAATTCTGAACAGACTCGTTCCTGATGGCAAATGAAAATTTTTATTTGAAAAAACCTCTCAGGTACCGCAGAATAATTGTATGGTGCAAGAAACAGAAGCCTCCAGGCAATACAGTGTCTCTTTCTGAGCAATTAACTTAAAACAACAGCAAGGAAAAACCAGTGGCCTGTACGAAGGCCTGTACGAAGCCCAGTTACCTTTGCTGACCACTGTACTTTTAATCATTTCCCACAAGCTTCCCAACTCCATAGTTCTTTTTGAAACTTTGCTTGATCAGGTTATCCTTCCTTAATTATATCCCTAAACCTTCATATCTCAAAAATATAGCTCAGCCCTAGCCCACTTGCTGGCAAACAACTGTTAGGCAGTACAATTACCATTAAAATATTGTACTGACAAGCTGGAATTTCCACATTCTTAGTTCTTTGCCAAAACCAATTATATTTTCAATGGAAAAGGTAAAAATAATAATATACAAAGAGTCCAGTTCAAAGCTTTTTTAAAAAGTTAATGCTCATCGTATCCTTTCACAGTTTTCCTGAATCTGAGTATCTAAACCTCCTCCAAAATACCCAGTCACTCACATGTGTACACACACCCCTCCCTAAAGTATATTCATAAGGGAGTTTCTCCTCAACATACAGATATTAACAAATTATTTTCTAATGACATTATCAAAACCACTTTTAAGTGCATTACAGTTACAAAGCACTATGAAATTTTACAGAAAAAAACTGTCAAAGCTAATCATAGCCTGATATTGTTGTATTCTCATAATTTCAACTCTCTAGAGAACTGATGTCAAATAGTGGCTGGACTCATTACTCAACACATGACAAAGGTGTTACCTTCTACTTAATAATGTTCAACACAACTGCAGTAGCATCCCTGTGAAACTTATCTGATATCCTATTTTTAGTTAAATCCCTTAACACCATGGATTTCCAGCCCAGAAGATTCTCATTTTCTAATACTATGTTAATCCTGCACAACGGATTTCCTTTCCTTTCCTTGCTCCCAGAAAATAAAGGTGTCTTTTGCTTTAGTACTAACATGCTGTCATTTATTGTGCAGGTGGAAGTTCAGGTTTACGCATTTAATTGTTTTTTGTCCGCGAAGCACTGACAACATAATTCTTGAAATGGCAGCGATAGTCAGTGGCCCACTTTCACTCTCTATTATCAAATACTGCGGGAATATGAGAGCACCAGCTGCCAAGCAGTATTTCTCCAAAACATAGCATGCATAAAAATTAGATAATGTGCTGGTTTGTTTATTTGACAGTTCCTCTCTCCACAACACTGTCTTTTACAAGCAAATTCATGTGCTTTTTTATTCTGCCTTAACATTGAGAACTGCCTTTCAAAAAATATTTCCCAAATATCTACAAAATATCCCCAAGCCTATTAACTACCTCCTGATAGCATATGGCTGGGATAACTCCAGCTGACATTTAGATATTCCTCCTCTTCCACACAGAAGTCTTTAGAATTTTCCTTTCTTTGCGGGAGGCGGGGTGGGGGTGGGAATCCACCACCCAAAATCTCTAGATACTTTTCTCTCAAGCAATGTGAAGACAAGCCGATAGGCAAAAATACTAGCATTTTTAATACTGGAAGGGATGAACATACAACTCCACTTCAGGTTACCTGGGCTTCTAGAGAAAATCAACTTGGTTTTAACGGTAATTTCAAAGAATGACCTTAATTTCTAATATTTTGATTTATTTATAATACAAATGCTACACCATTTAGAATTCATAAAACCACAAGTCATAGCAACTCTTCCTAGAAGAACCTTGCAGAAATATGTCATTTGACTAAAAAATGTCTTTAAGATGCACATCCAAACTTGAAGAACAGATGGGGAGAACTCATCACATCTCTAGAGTGTGCAAGATCTCAGCCCCTTTGCTCCAAAAACGTGCACTTTACTCTTTTCAGCTTTAATTTTGCAGCCACCAATTTTCCTTGTATTCCTTCTCTCACTACATCAAAGCCTCATTTAATATAATTCATATTTCTCTTTCAGAAATACATTTATAAAGGTGGTGAAGGGAAAGGAAATCATCCTGACAGTGATTTGCATAAACTATATGCAGACTTTAAAAAAAGGCTTCGAAAGAAATACAATACAGAAATCCATGGAAAATTAAATCTATGAAAAACTTGTTTGGGAAAATTAGACTGTGCTAATACAACTTGATACTTTTCTTTGACAGAATTAAGTTATTTTGTATACAAAAACTGCAGAGGCTGTAATCTATAAAGAAATTATTAAAGCACTGATGTAACGCTACACAGGGAATTATTTCTTAAAATGAAGGCGATGAGATGAAGGTAAGTGATCTTAGTAAGGAATCAATTAAGGGGAACGGCAGCAAATACTTCTGAGCATGGAAGTATCAGACTACAGAGAGAGGTTATTAAGGTTTTAATAAACCTCCTCAAAGGCTGACATCCAAGAGAGTTCCTTACAGTTTTAATCCCTTAACACAATCGTTACTACAGGTACATTCAGGAGAGGGAAAAATGTTATATATTTATACAGAAACAGTAACTATTCTTTCTGCAACCTTCTTAAAGGCATTTTGTTATGGTTGTTTAAATTGTTTACTCCTATTTTGATCACCTTTGATGCAACAATGACAACTACTGTAATAAGACTTCCTTTAATTCTCAAACTGATTTCCAGATATTACAACCTCAGATGTACATTTAATGCATATCTCCAAATGCATTTTATAAACTTTAAGCTAATTGTTGCAACACTACCAGGAAGTAATTATTATTCCTTTTATGTCAAGAAAAATGTGACAAGAGGGTAAGTCACTCAAAGTCCAAAAAAAAAAAATCTTCTAAGGATGTGAGCACTGACATTTAGGACTTTCTGAGTTTCAAGGCTATGCTTATTTCATCGGATCACACTATTCCCTCCACAGTGTTACCGTGGTAGTAGTTAGTAGGTGCTAACATTGCATCTGCCACTGGCTTTCCGACTGCAATTTTGAGGTAAGAGAAAGACCATGACTTTAAAACACTGTTTCATTTTATTTGCAAGACAGTGTGACAGATTTATTTCTAACATTCTTCCCCTGCCCCCCCCTTTTTTTCTTTTTAAACTATCATTTGTAACTTTTGGCTATCTGTGGATCTTTCTGTGCAGAATTTACAGCAGCTATTTGGAAAATTTCTTTTAATGCAATGATTTTAATAACATTTTATGTGAAAAAGAATAACCTTTGACTAAAAAGTAACATAGCCCACAAACTCATCTTGTCTATGGCTTTTATCTGTCCAAAATCTCAAAGTATTGGTGGCTCTCCCTCCCTTACTCTGTTTCTCAGCCAAAACATAGAGTATCTATCCCACAGTTATAGGCAAGGAAGTATGTTCCCTCGGTATAAAAGGGAAAGTGATCATGCTCAGAAACTTGGATGCTTTCTACTAATCTCCTGACAGATACTATACTAATCTGAAAGAATCAATCCTGAAGACCATTTAAGATGACCTCTGATTTTTAAGTTAAATTACTTTGAAAAAATCTTCATCTGCCTTTTTGGTAAATAAGATATGCACATACTGCTGCAATTAATTTTTTGCACTGGAGAAGAAGCAGAGCATTCATATTTCAAATAAAAGCTCTGTAAGGCAGATTCCTTCATCTGTTTTTGATGCAGAAGACTCTAGAATGAAACAGGTTTTTGTTAGTAAAGAAGTTTAATTCTGGTTTCCCATTCTAAGCACTAGTAGACATTGAAAAACGTACCCATTCATTTAAAAAAACCTAAACAAGTATTTCAAAATCAAGTTTCTATTTTACTTGGCAGCATGATTTAAAATGAGATGATGAACCGCAGATTTCACTTTATAAGATGATTTAAAACATGATGATGAATTGCAGGTTTCAGTTTCACAATGTTTGTTTCCTACTCTACAAGTTTTTCCTTGTTATTTACAGACCATTGGACACTTCCAATAGCATTTCAGACTTCAGTAGATCAATATTCTAATCAATTGTATCAGAGTAAAACATTTTTAAAAAAAACAAATATTTGTAACATTTTGCGTAAAACCTAGGAAGAGATGCATGAAAAAAGACAATATATGAGATTCCAGCTGTGCAAAAATACACAGAAAGGTGCTTAAAACTGAAAGTCTAAAACCACTAAGATGCTTATCTGAAGGTAGTAAATTCTGCTCTTTTGAGCAACTGGGAAATACAAAAAACCTATATAGCAGGAGTATCAGTCACTGTATGCATACAAAAACAAGCTAACTGTGGGAAACTGGAAGAGGTAACAACACATCACAAAAAGGATCCATCCAGGATCATATTTTTGTACTGGGGAGAAAGAATGTGTAAGCACCAGAAAATTAAATCGCTGCAATAAGTGGAAATCAGTACTGCATTATGAGAATGACTAACAACAATACAAAAGGTTAGCAGCAATAGTTGTAAAATAAATGATATTCCTACATTTTTAACAGACCAAACCACAGAGCAAAACTTAATATTTAGACTAAGTATACAAAAATAAGCAACAGAAGTTCCCTGTAGTAGTTCTGAAAACAGTCTAAATTACTTCTTTCACAAAAAAAATCTGTAACTATTATCCAAGGAGTGTATCTGTCCCTTGATTTCCACCAACTCCTACGAGAACACAAGGGTTGACTACCAGAACTGCTGCCAGTGTATTTAAGGGAAAATGATACCAGTTCAACAAACTGAGAAAGACCTAACTGGTGGTGACAGGAAGTGTGAATTTCATGTTTGCATCACTCCTTCCCAAATAATACAATGCATTAATGATCAAAGTCAGCATAAAAGTAGCTTTGCACTAAATAAGCATACGTACTACATATTAGATGTGTAAAATTTCCTGTTTTCCGAAAACTACTTGGACTTGGTCGCAGAATGTTTCCTATTGGATTGTACGATCTTGAATAATACAGACCTGTTTTTGCATGTATTTAAGCTTCTCAGTTAACATTAATGCATGTTAATAACAATATTTTTCATTTATTTTATTTGTAAATCTCAAGTATGATGGAATAAGCAATGAACGTTATTACATTATTTGCGCAAGGGCAGTACTATGTGAATATGTATATGAAAATCATTAGGTTTTTTAACAGATTAAGACATGTGGTCACGAGTTTCACGATAAAACTCAAAGAGGGGAGACAAAAGCAACTCTCTCAGAAATTGTATGGAAAAGAGTGATGTTGCAGAAAGACCCTCCAAACTCCCAGTCATTTATAATTAAATGCTGCATAATGTACATATTAAATTAAATATCTTTTCAATCATATGCCTTTTTATGCAGTTCCTTTATTTATACCCTCTTCTGTTCAAGCACGTCTCTCTGATATCATGTACCTTTTTCTCTAGGGAGAGCAGTACCTGTTCTTATGCAATAAGAAACACTTTTTTTTTTCCCTAAACAAGCATCCTGAGCGGATGCATTTAATCATTAACATACTTGTATTTACTGATTTCACTGATGCTTCTCCATAGTTTTCATGCATTAGATTTACCTTTATAGTTTTAATGTACTTTGTATTTAATGATTTTACATTTATTTAAAAAAAAAATACAAGATGCATATAGCCACCTCATTGAACAACCTATTCTCTTCATTGTTGCATTGCTGTCTACTCTCCTCAGCTTTTTTTCCTACAACATTTTTGCAGCTTCCTGTTGCTAATTTCATCCATACACTCTTTAAGCGAAAACGCCTAGGCATGATGTTCAAAAATGGTCTCTTGGTTCCCATTTACTCTAGTGGGAATGGTAATGGAAGATATCTGTAACTCTGCACTACAGAACAATGACTTGATGCGATCTATTAGTCTATGTCCTTCAGAGCTTTCTTTTAACAAGAGAGAAATGAAATGTAGCATGGGGGCTAGCTAAATCTTCATGAATGTATTCAAGTGTGTCTCTCATAGGGAGTTCTGAAGTAGGTGACTAAGGAACGGAGTCACAACAAAAGATATGTTAGTGAAAAACATTTGACTTTCTTCCTTAGTTGTCAACTTACAGAATTCCTCCCCCCATATGTTAATTAGCACTAATCCTACTCCTAGTTTAAAAGCAGTTGCTACATGCCTGAGGGGGTGATATTTCCTTTGAAAAGGTTGTATGCGTGTCATGCAAGACTTACCTGTCTGATACACTATATCTCGGAACAAAACCAATTCTGGTGAAGGGCTAGTTTTTGTCTAATGGCAATTTATTACCATTTCAGCTTCTATCCGAATTACAGTCATCTTTGGCTCTAAAAAAACAACCCTCTCCACAAATTCACCATGGAACTGACCAAGGAGAGTCTAAACCTCTGAGAAATGTCATCAGCAGCCAAATACATAGATTATGTATTATAATTATATAAAAAGTCTAAATATCACAGCCTCAGCTCCAATGTCACTGTTGACAGTGAGATTCTCTAGTTCTTGCACCAACCATTAAAATACTTCTTCAATTGACGAATGGGTTTTTAGTATCTATGAACACATACTCCCAGGCCTAATATTCACTATACTGATACAAAGTAAATTGACCTAAACCTTTTAAAAGTGCAGATAGCCTTAGAAAAGACCTACTAATAAGCAAACAGCTCAATTTAGAGAAATAGTAGAAGAACTACGCAATAAACTCACTATAAGAAGTTGTATTTGATTTCCAAATAATGAAATGTTCTACCTGTGTACAAATACTATTGGAAGGAAAAAGTTTGGTGTGGTTTTTTTTTTTTTTAATAAAAGCTATTTTAAAATAATTAGAACAAACAGTACCCAGCTGGTACCTGTACTTACTCATTGCCCCAGTCCAGCCTCACTGTGAGGTGCCTCTTGACCTCTCGCACCTGATCCTGTGTCAAGTGACCTGACAGCAGCTGTCTACGTAGGTCAATGAGTTCATTCATCACATGGCGCAGTTTGTAGAAAAGATCTACCTTATGTTTCTGTAAAGGCATATTTTTGGGAGGAGAGGGGAAGAGAGTAAGAAAGAAAGAAAGAAAGAAAGAAAGAAGAAAGAAGGGGGGGAGAGAAAGAGGGGAGAAGAAAGAGATTAATAAGT